AAGCAGTTAGATTACCTGTTAGAAAAAAAAATTCATCAGACCGAGCTCGTCACCGTTCGCCGCACCGATACTATTCACGCCGAAAAAAGACGAGGGTTTTCGCATGTGTATCGCGGTACCCCATTCCCCGCGCCGACGAACTGATCGACCAACTGCGAACAGCACGGGTTTTTTCGAAAATAGATTTACGGGGAGGTTACCATCAGATTAGGGTCGAACCATCGGACTGCGCCAAAACATCTTTCAGAACTAGGTACGGGTCTTTCGAGTAAACGGTGATGCCATTCGGGCTGACCAACGCACCGACGACTTTTCAGATGACCATGAACGAGGCATTTAGGCCGCTCTTAGATAAATGTGTAATAGTTTACCTCGACGACATCCTAGTGTACAGTTGGGATAAGTAGCAGCACTTAGCAGATCTGGAAGCAGTGTTTAAGGTTTTAGACGAGCACAGATTACTGACCAAGGGTTCCAAGTGCGAGTTCTTCCAGGATAGGTTAGAATTTTTGGGGCAAGTTATTTCGGAGGCTGGAGTTGAAATCGACCCAAAGAAGCTGGATACGGTAAAAGTGTACCATCCCCCGACGAACATCACGGAGCTGCAGAGCTTTTTAGGGTTCGTTAATTATGTGCGTCGGTTCGTCCCCGATATGGCACGGTTAACTGCCCGACTGACGGATTTACTGCGGAAGGGGGTCGCTTTTACGTGGGGGGAGAAAGAGCATGCTGCCTTCTCTGCCCTGAAAAATGTTCTCTGTTCACCGCCCGTCCTGCGCATCGCCGACCCACACCGCCCATTCGAAGTAGTTACCGACGCAAGCGATATCGCCATCGGAGCCGTACTGCTACACGATTTCGGCAATGGCCTATAGCCTAGCGCATACGAGTCACGAAAACTGCACCCGCCCGAGAAAAATTACCAGATACACGACCGCGAAATGCTTGCGATCGTGCACGCGTTCAAAGTATGGCGCTGTTACTTGACTGGTGCGGACATGACAGTACGGACAGACCATAAATCACTACAGTACCTTCGCGCACAGCCACACCTCAACCCACGACAGATTCGCTGGCTCCATTTCCTCGAGTCCAACTTTCACTATACGGTCACTTACAAAAAGGGAGCCTCGAACATCGCCGACGCACTGACTCGCCCCACTGCCCAAATCCACGCAATACTACTCGCCCAGACAAGCCCACTACTGACAGGCCTATTCACCCACAGGTACCAAACGGATCCATTCTTCACAGGAGGAAATTCGCAGCAGTTCGCGGCAGCAAAGGGAGTCTATTACGTAGAAACCGGGACTGACCACATGTGGGTGCCTGGGTATACACTGCTACGGGAATTACTGTTACAGGAGGCACACGATGGAGTTACCTCGGGGCATTTCGGAGTAGAAAAACACGGTAGCAGCTGCAGCGGTATTATTACTGGCCCGAAATGTTGACCGACGTACAACGACACGTGGCATCGTGTCCCACTTGTCAGCTCATGAAATCATCACGACAGCGGCCGGCGGGACAGTTGCAGCCGATACCACCCCTAGAGGGTGCTTGGCAGCAGGTGACGATGGACTTCGTCACGGGGTTACCAGCCGGGGCGAGTGGGAACGACGCGATCCTAGTCGTCGTCGATCGATTGACGAAAATGGCACATTTCGCAGCCTGCAAAAAATCAATCACAGCCAAAGAAACAGCACGCCTCTTCATCTCCACAGTCGTTCGACTGCACGGGATACCAGCCGCGATCATCAGCGACCGCGACACGAAATTCACCAGCAACTTCTGGCGGAACCTGTGGCAGCAGTTCGGCACGCGACTGCAGTTCAGTTCATCATGCCACCCCGAAACCGACGGACAGACAGAACGGACAAATCAGACCATGGAACAGCTCATCAGGGCCACGTGTGACGACCCGACCACGTGGGAACAGCAACTGCCACTAATCGAATTCGCGTACAACAACTCGCCATCCGCCATGACCCAACAGTCACCATTTTACCTAAACTACGGACAAGACCCAACAGTACCCATGACCCCGAATCCTGACAACCCAGTACCACGAGCACAACAGATCGCCGAAATATTACAAGCAGCACAAACCCGGGCAGTAGACGCAATAAAAATCGAACATCATCGCTAAACGCAACGCCGACCGCCACCGCAGACCTGTCACTTACCAGCCCGACGACTTAGTTTTACTTGACACTCAGAACCTCCGACTGCCCATCACCCCGAAACTCCGCCCCCGATACTGCGGGCCATTTCGCATAAGCCACGTGCTTACACCCGTCACCGCCCACCTCCTCCTCCCTGCTGACTGGTACGTCAGCCCCTCATTCCACGTCAGCCTACTTCGCCCTTACGTCCCGTCCACGAGCCAACTGCCACGCAATCGCCCAGCCAGCATGACAAGACCACCAACTGAACCAATCATCACCCCCGAGAAAATCCTGAGTCCCAGAGTTCGCGACCCTCGAGGAGCCCGAAGGATCGAGTTCTTACTCCGCTGGAAGGACCGTACACCCACCGACGACAATTGGGTTCCCCTCGACAGAATCGAAAACCACCCCGTCCTCACCGAGTATCTGCGCAGCCAAAATTTCAGGGATGTACACGCATTTTCGTAAGGAGGACCTCCTTAGGGGGGGGGGTAGTGTAAGGAAAATTCCTTTTCCTTACTTCGCATCCCTGCTCAACGCGTACATCACTGTAGCACCACAGTCAGCACCGTTACCACTCGCAACCCTCGCATCGACAATCCGCCCGCCACCTTCGCACATCGCACCCCAACTTCACGGCTCGGCAGGTAACCCGCGCTCCGGACCTCCGCTTCGACACTTTTCCCAACCTCAGTCCCAGGCCCGTCGCCAGGGCCCAAATTTTAAGGGTATTTTACACTTTTTTCCCTGCTCATAGGCCACTTTTTGGCAGTTACCCTTTTCAAATCAGGGTATGCAGATTTTTACCCTAGTGCAATCAGAATACGCTTAAAAGTACTCTTGTAGCTTTTCCAGTTACACTGACTGTATCAGGGTAGGGGTTCAACTACCCTTTTACCGGAACTATTCCGTACCGCGGATTCCGCCACAGTCCGCGCCACGACGAAATGCTCCACGGTCCCACTGGACCATTTGTTGGATGCACCCACTGGCGTGCCAATGTACATTCAGGGCGGATGGCACCGCACACCTACGATTGGTCCGTTGAGCGACATTGAAGCCAACGCACCCAGTTTCCGTGCGTCACGCAACATCGCGCACTGCCGATTGCGCGCCAGGTGGGGTACGTGCTGTCGTTTCCACCACCTGGCAGTCACTGTGGCCTTGCAGCCATTGCCGTGCAGTTCCCTACCAGCGAGGGAACCTTGCTGCCTAAGGCGCCTTGGGCTTTGTGATTCCCGAGGGGTCTCTCAGGCTCTTGCCATTCTCTCGTTTCCCTCTCGTTTGTTGTTCCGAATGCCTGCCTCTAAGCCTGATCCGCCTGGTAGCACCAGGAACGGTCTCTCCGTTCTCGGTGTGTTACCTCGGCTTGCTGAGAACTATAGCGTCCCTATCTCTCAGCCTGAGCGTGAGCCATCCCTTGAATTTCTTGTCGGCACCGTTTTCCCGTGCGAGCGTTCGGCCTCGCCAAAGTCCCGGGAGCCACACCCGTCTCTCGAGCTTGTTCTCGATGGCGGCGAAGGCCCGTCGAAGCCGGCCACTGCAGCCCCGTCCACAATTAGCTCCGCGCCCGCGAAGCGACAGCGTGTGGGCGTGACATACAAGGAGCAGAGGCTCTGGGGCGCCCCTCCTCCACGACAAGAGGCATCACCGCCACGCCGTGCTGCTCCTGCTCAGCCGAAGCCTCCAACCGCTTCTGCAGAGGCTGAGTATGAGTTGGTAAAAACGACTTTCGATTCGCAATGGTCAAAGAAATTCAGTTGGCTGCGCTTAATGCGCATGACTAACGACAGGCCGTCATTGAAATGTGCCATCTGCATCAAGCACGGGGATCCAAACGCGCACACTGCCTACGGCGTCAGAGGTGAGGGTGCCCGAGACATGCAGCTAGGGAGCATCCGCGTGCACACATCAAGCAGAGCCCACAAGCAGGCCTTGGAAAACGAGGCCAAAGCAGACGCGGAAAAGGCGAAGCAAGCCACACTAACAAGGTGGCAGAGCACTAATGCAGCTACACGGCACATCATCCGCTGCCTCCACCTCGCGCTCTTCATCTGCAAGGCTGACGCGCCAATAGCAATGTTTGTTCCTTTGTGCTGGTTTATGGCTAAGGAAGGACTGCCGGACCTTCCACCGTCTGGAGGGTACGGCGCCTACTACACCGAGTAAGTGCAGTGCAGTGCAGTGTAGGGCCCTTTATTTAACTTGGTTGGTAGTAAAGCTTGTAGGTGCAGTGCAGAACACTTTAGTGATAACTAAGTAATTGTTGTACGGTAGTAGTACAATCTTATGCTTAGGAAGGAAACAGTGTACGACATATATTATCCTGCCAAAATCAGTGTACCAAAACTTTTAGGCTGCTACAATCAGTGTACGAGAAACTTTACCCTACCAGTCAGGGTACGGAGGGGATGCCACCCTGATTTGAAAGAGTGAGCTAAAACCTATTTTGGGCCGTGCCCGTCGCGCGACAACCACAGTCCATTACCGTTACCACTGTAGTTTCGCTATATATTCTTCGCTCATGCCTTCGCTCATTGTACTCTTGCTCCGATAGTGCAATTCTCGTTCGTTCCCTCAATTGCACTCGTAACAATTTGTAAGAAAAAGTCTGAGATTTTAGACAGTCATACCATATTTGTTTGATAAACCTACCAAGGTCCGTATTATACGGAAGTCCCGGGGGTCTACTACTGATCTTATATCCGGGTGATTACGGTAAATCGTGTACGGTAGTACTATAAGAAAACAATGAATATATTAAACAATAAAGATACACCGTAGCATACAAACCGGGGAAGTGACGCCGACACTAAAACTGCTTGGTTAAAGTTACAAACCGTCAAGTGTTGAGAGCACCTGCAGTAGAACTCTCTCACTGAGTGGCTTCTGCACAGCGCCATCCATGCCAGCCTCAGTGGCACGGGCGACAACGGCACAGTCCACATCTGCTGACATGGCCACCACATGAACGCGCTGCTGTTGTTGCCAATCTCCCTGTCCCACTTGCAACCCCGCTTGGGCGGTGTGGGCTTTGGCCTCAAAGGCGCGCAGGCGGGCGGTGGTCTGGAAGCCATCGAGGCCGGGCATGAGGAGGTCCATGAGCACGAGGCGGAAGGAGTGGGTTGCCTGCAGCAGGCGCAGCGCCGCCTCGCCCGACTCTGCCAGCGCCACCTCCGCCCCGTACCGCGCCAGCGTGCTCGCTGCCACCCGCCGGTTCACCAGGTTGTCGTCCACCACCTGGTGGAGAGAGGGGGTACAGGGAGGGGTGCAGAGGGGCTGAGAACGGTTGATCACGTTGTCGTCCACCACCTGGGTGAGGGAGGGGCATGCAGAGGGGGTGCAGCGAGATGAGAATGGAGGGACAATTGATAGCGAGTTGTTGTTGTCCACCACCTGGCCAGCACAGCGGGTACATCCGATAGAGGACGATTGAGAGCGAGTTTGAAAGAGAAGAAGATATGACGTTGTCATGTGGACTGCCCTTGCTCGCATCTCACCAGCACAGCCATTGCTCGCATCTTACCAGGATGGCCATGCCCTGAAGCAGCTCCTTGAGGGCCTCCTTGGCGCTCACCACCTTCTCACCCGCCCTCTCCACCACGCTTGTGCCCTCCGCCTCTCCCCAGCCCTGCTCTCTCTCGCTCGCACTCAAGCTTCTGTTGCCCACTCTGGTAATGGGGCTGGGAATGGGAACGGCATTCCAGCCAGCACCATAACCCACGCTGGGAGCAGAACTGGCAGCCGGGGAATGAGCAGCAGCAGCAGCAGGAGGAGCGGGAACATAAAAGGGCAGAGCGATGTGCAGAGTGGTGCCAAGGCCCTCTGAGCTGATCAGACCCATGCTGCCGCCTAAGAGGGACACCTGCGACAAGTTGGCACGTGGAAGTGGTTGAAAGAAAGAAGCAGACAGTGAGTGTCGTGCAGCGCAGTAACAAACCATAATATACAGAGGAAGGGAGTAAGAAAGTGCTGAGCTGAAGACGCACAAGCTTTGAAACAGACTCACCAGCTTCGAAACAGACTCACCACCTTCAAAACAGACTCACCAGCTTTGAAACAGACTCACCAGCTTCGAAACAGACTCATCAGACTCCACTTACCAGCTGGCGTGACAAGTGAAGGCTCATGCCGCTGCCGCCATGCGCGTGTCTTTTCTGGTGTGCCTGTTGACGCGACGCGAGGTGGTGCGACAAAACAAGAGAATATGACGGATCGGTGAAGGTGCAACTGTGGTGCATTCATGCAGGCAAAACCTTCATATTCCTGATCCAGAACTTCCTTCCCACACTTCAGTGTAAAGTGTACATTCAATTGATACCTGAGTAAAATAGCTTGATTAAAATGTATCATAGAATGATGGTTTTAGATGATGAGCTGCATCCAGCCACACATCAACTTGCCATCACCTGCTTGAATGATCAATCACACAACACCAGGTGCAGGGCATGAAGGGCGGGGCTCACTCACCTGCATGAACGCCTGAAACACGTCGCGCTGCTCCTCCTCTGCGATGCCACACCCCGTGTCCTCACATGTCAGCAGCGCCACACACCGCCTGCCACCCCCCCCCTCCTCCTCTGTGCACTCCTCTCTGCCCCGCCCGCGCCACCACCTCCCCACTGGTTCGCTCCACCAGCCCACACCACCACCCGCTCCTAATGCTGCTGCTCTTGCCACCCTGCCTACCTCAAATGTGCCAGCGCCACCCCCCTCACGCACAGCAGCACCTCGCCCGGCTCTAAGACCACCAAGACCACCCCCGTCCTCCTCTTCGCCATGTCTCAGCGAAGCCCCCTCTCCTCTTCTCCAAGAAACGCCACTTTTTCCTGCATTCCCCCTCTCGCCACCCTCCTCCCGCCCTTGCTGCACACATGCACCTGCTGCCGCACCACGCACTGTCTGCACTGCTGCACCCCCCCATTCACCTCTCCGCCATTCCTCATCCCCCACACCTTCCCTGCGCCCATTCTCTGCATTACTCCACCCTTCCTTCCTTTGCCCCTCCCTTTCCCACCCCCCCTCCGGCTCCTCCTCGCACCTCTCGTGGCCCTCGCCCTGCCCCATGGCCCCCACTGGCGGGTGTGAGGGGCGCGGGAGGAAGCGTGTGCAGAGCGACGCCAGCTGTAGGGCCCAGTCGCCCACCACGCCCCCCACCACCCCCTGCTGCTCCGCTCCCTGCTGCACCAACCCATGCTGCACCACCTGCTCTCTCCACGCCCTCTCTGCTCGCTCCTGCTCACCGCCAGGCGCAGCAGCAGCAGCAGCTGTGGGGACAGCAGTGGCAACAGCAGCAGTGGTGGCAGCAGTAGAAGTGGCTTCACCATTATTGGCAGCAGCAGCCGAAAGCGAGGAGCAGGCGGGGGTGGGTTGAGCGAGGAGGCAGCCGAGGGAGAGCAGGTGGGTGGGGATGTGGGTGTCGGGGGGAAGGCACTGCAGCCGCACACACACGCTTCCGCTGGTCGTGAACTTGATGGCATTGTCTGCAGCAGGTAGCAGTTGAGGGAGGGGGGAAAAAAAACAAAAAAACACGCGCGCAACAAAGGGACCAAATTTGAGTGATGGAAAGGGAACAAGAGAAGTGTAACACGTAATGTAGGTTCATCTAGCGGCGATGCACATGACATCCCGTTCAGCCCTGGTGACTCACCCACAATGCTGTCCACCACTTGCTGCAGGCGCATGTAGTCCCCCTCCAGCACCTCGGGCACACTCGTATCCACACGGCACACAACTGGGCACGGGCACACACACAAACAATTAATACAGAGGTTACAAAAAGAAACACTCAACACTTGCTTGTGAGATGTGTGATGGATTGCTTTCTAGCACCAGAGTTAGGGGCATTGCTGGAAGGGACCGAAAACAGATGAGAGGAAGATGATTACAGTTGAGGTTGCGAGCGTGGGCGGCGCAGGCGTGGGAGTGCAGCGCGTCCCTGAGCCAGGAGCGCACATCGAAGGGCAGGGTCTCCATGGTGAGGCGGCCGGCCTCGGCTTTGGAGACGTCGAGCACGACGTTGATGAGCGCCACGATGCGTTCCACCTCGCCCACCGCCGTCCCCACGTCCTCCCTCTGCCCTAAGTCCACCTCCCCCTCCGCCAGCTCCTCCAACATGCCTGTGGGGTCAGCGCGGGGGGGGGGGGGGGAGGGAGAGGGCACAACAATGCGTCATCCATCGCTTTGCGTGTACCGCGTGTGCAGTGCCGTGCCGGCAATTCAGAGGGGGGGGTGCCGGAAATCCAGTGAGAGGGGTGCCGACATAACAGAGCGTTATTGCGCCCACTTTGAGCCCATAGCCTTGCATGAGCGACCATAACGGCCCACTTTGAGCCCTCTCAGAAACCAATCGATCCACTCAACCCACCCATCCCATTCCCATCCACACACCCTTCTCGCCCCATTCCTGACCAGTGCTGACATCCGCAACACATACATCGCCCTGTGCCCTCTTAGAAACCACTCGCACCACTCGGCTCATTCCCCTGCCCACGCACCCTTGAGGCCGATGATGGGGGTGCGCAGCTCATGCGCCGTGTTGGCGATGAAGGCACTCTTGTTGCGCTCCGCCGCCTGCGTTCTCTCCTTGAGCATCGCCAGCGCCGCCACCTTCTCCCGCACACCACGCGTGTTGCACGCCACGCTCACCCCGATAGCCGCCAGCAGCGCCGCCACCACCACGATCAGCACCGCCAGCAGCACGGCCGTCCAGCTGTGGACCGTGTCAGCATCGCCAAAGCTGCAAGCAGATGAGTGCAGTATGAGGAATGGGGGATCAAAGTGTAGAACTTCATTTTAGCTGTAAAAATGGGGCCTTGAATAACGGCCGTCCAGCTGTGGACCGTGTCGGCTTCGCCAAAGCTGCAGGCAGAGGAGACGTGAGGCGTGGAGGGAAGCGTGAGGCGTGGAGGGAAGCGTGAGGCGTGGAGGGAAGTATGAGGCGTAGCATGAGGCGTGGCCGGCAGCATGAGGCGTGGAGGGAAGCATAAGGCGTGGACTCAGCTTTATTTTAGCTACAGAAGTGGAGGGTGGTGAGTTGGGAGAGAAGCACTTCTTGTGAAAGGATGAAAGGAACACACATCTGGACCAACGCATGCCTTGGAAGCAACTCACCGGCACCAGAGCTGGTAGGTGTGTGATGAGTCGGTGAGGTTGATTTGCTGCACGGCCTTGTAGCGGTGTGGCTGCAGCATCGTTTCGTTGCACGGTGGAATGAGCTTGGCCACTTGCAAGGGGTCGCCTTGAGGCAAGTCGCCCACCCCGTACAGCAGGCGCGGGGTGTAGGAAGAGGAGGAGGAGGAGGAGGAGGAGGAGGAGGAGGAGGAGGAGGAGGAGGAGGAGGAGGAGGAGGAGGAGGAGGAGGAGGAGGAGGAGGAGGAGGAGGAGGGTGAGGAAAAAGCGAGGCGGTCACTGGAGGTGACATCATAGACCTCGAGGGAGTACTGAACATCTGGAAAAGGAGGAGAGTGAGGGAAAAAAAAAAAACACACACACACACACACACAGACACACACACACACACACACACACACACACACACACACACACACACACACACACACACACACACACTAAATGTTTGTTAATTTGAACAATCTCCTTGGAGTAATTGTGTGCAGCAAAGGGAGCAACAGCACATTCAAGTAGCAGCACTGCACCTTGGCGAAGCACTTCGTTAATGATGAAGGCGGCGAGGCTCTTGAAATCGATGGACGCCGCAATGAGGCCGATCAACGCCGCCCGCCTCTCCTCCAGCGGCGACGACGTTGTCACGCCGTCCCTGAAGATTGGGAATCCCATGCCTGGCCGCACAATGGGGCGGAGGGGACGGGGGAGGGGACGGGGGAGGGGACGGAGGAGGGGACGGGGGAGGGGACGGAGGAGGGGACGGGGGAGGGGACGGGGGAGGGGACGGGGGAGGGGACGGGGGAGGGGACGGGGGAGGGGTACGGTACAGATGTAGAGGATGAGTGAGTGAGAGATGAAGAGGGTGGCTATGGAAGAATGGGGAATGACAGGGAGAGAAGGTAGCGACTGGGGGAGGAAGAAGGAGCAACAGCACTTCGACTCACCCATACCACTCACACACGCCCCTCCCACCCATTGACGCAACGCCCCTCACACTCACCCACGCCCCTCACACTCACCCACGCCCCTCACACTCAACCATGGCCCTCCTACTCACCACACCACTCGCACTCACCCATGCCAGCCTCCCCATTGTCAAGCACGTAGGGCATGCTGAGCAGGTTCACTGCCAGGTCGTGCATGCGCGCGAGCTGCGGGCCGTACGAGGGGTGTGTGCGCACGTTGATGCACACAGAGCCCACCTCCAGCAGCGGCAGCAAGGGGTTCTCCTGGAACCACACGCGCGAGTTCATGTACCAATCCGCCTCCAGGGCCGGCTTGCCGAGAATGTCCAACAGCTTGCACTGCGCCGCCCGCTCAAACAACGCCCTGCAGCGAGTGAGAGGGGAGAGAGGGGAGGGGTGGGGTGATGGGGGAGGTGGAGGAAGGGGAAGGATGGAAACGAGGAGGACGAGGAGATGAGGCGAAGGAGGGAGATGAGCGGCTTCTGCTGATGGAAGAAAATGTGAGATGAGATGTGAGCGAGAGAATCTCAGAATGCATGCAAACTCAAGAAAGCGCCACGAGGTGAAAGCTACAAGTCAAGAAGTTTGCAAAACGTGCAGGGAAGGGAAAACACAGCACCCCCCTGGAAGTCCGTCTGCCAGCCATGCATGTGAGAGCTGTGGAGAGGCGGTCGGAGGGAGTAGGGGTGAAGGGATAAGACAGCAAGGGGGGGGGGGGGGAGGGGGGGGGGGGGTGGCGGGGCTGGGCACCTGTGTGAGCCGTTGATGAGCGTCATGTAAGCCACGGCGTGCACCCAGGGCTGCGCCGCCACCATGCGCTCCACAAAGCGCACGAAGCGGCGCTGCGTGAGACAGCTGCCCACCGCCCAGGGGTTCTGCCGCACGCCGCCAAACACTGTCGCCAGCCCCGCCAGCACCTGATGGGCGCATCGGGGTTCGCATGGGGGAGTGCATGGGGACGCATGGGGGGTGCATGGGGAGTGCATGGGGAGTGCATGGGGAGTGCATGGGGAGTGCATGGGGAGTGCATGGGGAGTGCATGGGGGGTGCATGGGGGGTGCATGGGGGTGCATGGGGGGTGCATGGGAGGTGCATGGGGGGCGCATGGGGGACGCATGGGGGACGCATGGGGGACGCATGGGGGGCGCATGGGGGACGCATGGGGGGCGCATGGGGGACGCATGGGGGGCGCATGGGGGACGCATGGGGGGCGCATGGGGGGCGCTTGGGGGCCGCTTGGATGGGGCGCATGTGGCTCACACAGCGCGTGGCTCACACAGCGCATGGCTCACACAGCACGTGGCTCACACAGCACGTGGCTCACACAGCGCGTGGCTCACACAGCACGTGGCTCACACAGCACGTGGCTCACACAGCACGTGGCTCACACAGCACGTGGCTCACACAGCACGTGGCTCACACAGCACGTGGCTCACACAGCACGTGGCTCAAACAGCACACGGTTGGCGATTGAGTGCTCCAGTGGCCCACATGGGCTTCTCACACAGTAACGCCCTTACTCCCTCACCCACCCATCTGACCTTTGCCGAACGATCGTGCGTGATGGTCTCAACACCAGCCCGTGCGACGACCCCTAGAGTCTGCGGACTCTTCTTCGCATGCAATCACGCTCAACGTCATGTGTCGGCTCGGATCAGCTTATCCAACCCGCATTCCCGGCGTGCACCCATCGCCACGTACTGGGCTTGTCGCATTCAAGCCTAGCCATCTGTACAGCCCGGCTTGATTCGTAGCTTCTATCGACCTGGACGGCCGCAGCGACGCCACACCTAAACTATAACCGAGACAATTTAGGGACTGTGTTGAATGCTGCTGCACGCAGATGACTGATATTGTATTGATAACCGGATCTTGCTTGACGTGGGCTAGATCGGCGTGTACGAGTGGAGGTTGGAGGATCTTAGCGAGCTCCCTGCCGACGCATTCTTGTTTCGCAAGAATCCGCGCTAAGAATTTCGCACATTGGCGAAGCATCGCGGCATTCGCGCACTGGCACGTGGTCGGCGTGTACCTGCACGTGGTGGGGCGTCTACCTGCACGTGGTGGGGCGTGTACCTGCACGTGGTCGGCGGTGAGCATGAACTGCTGCTGCAGCGAGCGCGCGCGACCGGCGCACCAGGTGTCGAGCTCCGCCTTGCGATTGTCGTCGAAGCCCTTCTGCACCCTCCACGCCACCAGCCCCGCCAGCACGCCCGCAAGCCCCATCCACACCGCCACCGCCGCCGCCATTCGCGACAGGGCCAACCCCCGACTCGACATCGCCACGGAAGAATGATCTTGACGTTCCAGGTCCCAACTCTACCTCGTCCGGTCTTCCCGCACGTTCTCGAGCACACCGGTTGAGGAGTGGAGGAATAGGTCACAGGGTACTCTCGCAGAGGCCAATGTGGTTGCGTGTGACAAGAGTCCAATTTTTTAAAACCGAAACCCTACTCCGCCGTCTCGATTTGCGATCAAATTGCTCTAGATCTCAAACTTTTCAATACCGACACGCAGAGTTTCGAACAGGAGTCACAAGCAGGGTTCGTAGTGACTAATGCTACCTTTCCCAACGAAATAGAAGTTACTGCATTACTCTACCAACAAACAGGAGTCTCCTAAATTAACCACTTCCTTCTACGTCATCCAGCCGCCAATCCATGCGCTATAAATTATTGGGTTAGTGAAACCCATACGCTGAAATTTTATGTGCTTGGTATCTCGTGCTGGAAATCGTGCGCAAAAGGCGGCACCCATGCATAGTTTCTAAGATCCACACCACAGTTGTTACAGGGTGTTGTGAGCGAGGGAATGGGCTGAGCAGGAGGACATGGATGGGAGTACGAATAGGAGCAAACCAGCGTCCATGTCATCTCTCCCCTCCCAACCGAGTGCCTCTCTGGATGAGGACGCGGTAAAAATGCAAATATCACAGGATCGTCTGCACATATCCATCCCCACAATCGATTGGGCAGGTCGATTGGCGAAACGTGGCGATCGCGACGTTGTAACGATCGCCACTGAAATTTGATAGATCTCCCGCGATTTGTGATCAGTCGCATTCACGCACTGTCCTTAAAATTGGGCCAAAAAGCGTACTGTAGCATGATTACAGCGTAGTAAATGGAGTAACCGACCCGCACATTGATCGTGACTGACGATCGATCGTCTACTTTTATCGCGTCCTGAGGGATTTGAGGCATTTGCCCCTTCATGCCTGAAGCATGGTGGCATTGTGGGTTGGGTCTGGGCACATCCACTGTTTTCGTTATCGTTATACGGGCCACCCGTGACATTTCAGGGCTGCTGTGAACAGAATTCGGAATCAGTTCATGGCGAACCCGCCCTTTCCTTGGTTATCAATGAAGGCCTCGCTTAAGCCCTTTTCTCCACCCACTCCCTTCATTCCCACTCCCCTTCCCCCTGCCACCCCCACAGCCTCCTCTCACTCCCTTCCTCTAGGCCTGCTTCTACCCGGCGGTGAACGTTCTGGACAAAACAGGCCCAGCACACCCGCAACAGTTACATGTTACACCTACTGGTCCACGTGAGACTTCAAGCCAAAAGCAAAATCAATACAAGCCCCTAGAAACTGGATGGCTTACTAATTATTCCAAATTTGACGAGGGGTGTCCCTGAAACACGTTCAACGACCTGACTAGGTGTATGAGTGTGATGGGAAGATTCTCATTCCCTCTATCGGCAGAGGTAATGATGAGTAGGTTGGACACAAATCTTTCTGTGCTTTGGCCAGGCTGGCCAATCAATCCCCCAACCCCAAGCAACATGTGACTTCAGCAAAACGACGGGGCCACGCAACAAACAGTGGGATTGAGCGGCCACAGCCACAAATACGAGAGCACACGCAGGTAGGTGGGGACCACGGACGAGGGCTCAGAGTTTGAAGGCGGTTGACCCTGTTTGGCCCGCTTTTCCAACCTTCCCCATTAAACTCTTCCTCGTCTCCCCCTCCATGTCTTGTTGCACCGACGGTAATTTTTAAACGGAAAACTCCCGTAATAGAACACCTAACACCCTGCAAACTCCTGGCCCTGCTGCGCCTGGCATACTGTAGTAACAGAAACTCCTTCACAACTCTGGAGAGGGTGTCCAAAAAAACTATCGAGACCCCTGGAATGAATCCACATCTGATCGACGGTCAGTTTTGGGACAGGCTGATGTGCACTCGCCCAGTTACCCGGTGCTGCAGCGAGTGAGTCTCAACTCACTGTTCCCCTTGCTTACGTTTTTGCACTTTTCGTTAACCAACGTCACCGAGCCTTCACGAGAAAGTGCTGGCAAATTCGCGTTACACTAATTACGCATGATACACCTAGTCGCGGTATTTTAACCGCCGCTATCTTAACCGTGCGAGGGTACTTCTCCTTGGTCAAACTTTTTTATACGAGTAGTTTAGAAATTTATTGAGGGTATAATCTAGCATACCCTTTGTGAGACGACGGCAGACAAAACCTGGTCGATGCCGATCCGCCCTCTATTCCGGAGCACAAAGTGTGAGTTTCTTTGTAAGGAAATGCTTCTGGCTGCAAAACAATAGCCTTGAAGTCTCTGGGTGCCCATCTCATTACCCGAAAACGAACAAAGGGTGTTTGAAGCGAAATAGTTCACGTAGTTAAAATACCGCGGACTAGGTGTATCGATTCACCCCCTACCAGTGGTCGCGTTACGAAAATGCAACAAATTAACCATCTCCCTTATGTGTAAGGAAAAATCCTTTTCCTTCGCGTCCCTGCTCAGCGCGTACTCCCCTGTTCCTGCCAACAGCACCCAACAGTAAAACCGTTACCACTCGCGACATTCGCCTCGACACTGTTCCCTCCACTGTTCACGACGCAACCCAATCTCACGGTTCGGTTGGTAACCCGCGCTCCGGACCTACCGCCTCGACATTTCCCAATCTCGGCGCTAGGCCCGTCGCGCACCCCAATTTCCACACATTACCGTTACCATTATAGTTTCGCTATATATTTTTCGCTCATGCCTTCGCTCATTGTACTTTTGCTTCGATAGTGCAATTCTCGCTCGCTCACTCAATTGCACTCGTAACACTTGGTACTTAGAGCCTACGATCTCTTCTCGGACCGCACCCACACCTTCGCTTCCCCACTATCTCAAATTTTGGGGGGGGGGGGGGGGGGGGGGGGTAGACGTTTCTCAGAGAAACAGCACCACCACTCATAGTGCTCTCTCGTAAGCACGCACGGCCACGACAGAGGCTCTCGCTGAGGTTGCCCGACACCCCTGCCATGGACGAATTCACTCTCGCGACACTGACGCGGGAGCAACTCGACCGTCTCGTGCGCCAGGTCGAAGAATCGGCGCTCAAAATTGCAACACTCATGGCGGAACGTGACTCCGCGCGTCAGCAATCCACGTTGAATACTCCAGTGCCACCACACGCACCTGCAAATGCACCTGCACAATCGGAGGAGCCGATCGTCATCTCATCAAGCACACCACACAAAATGACAGCGTGGGACACCGCTCAGGCGCAGCCAGTGATGGCGCCGCCCACTAGATGCCTTGCATGGAGAGGAACATGGTCGCTCCAAGCCCGCGCGAGCCTCGTGAAGCCTGTCGACACGTGGAATTCGCGGCGACAAGTGGCGACCACGCCATCATGGCACCAATGCCACTCAAGCCGCAGCGCCCGCCCTGCTTCGACCCAAGCCAGCGTGGAGGTCCGACGGTTCAATCTTCACAATGAACGTCTTCTTGGACGGGAATTACGTAGAGTCGGACGCAGCGAAGATCCGATACGTCATCTCGCTGCTAAGGGGCCCCGCTATGGACTGGTGGCGAGTCATCGTGGCGTCGCCACGCGCCTATGAGCCACCGTCGCAAGAGGAAGGGCCCACGAGTCCAGCCGTCACCTGGAGCTCATTCTGCAAAACCGCCCAGTACAGCACGTGGGATGCGTGGTGCGCAGGGCTTCGGGCGCGCTTCGTCATTGACAACCCTACAGGATGATGACCTTCGTCATCACCGGTTGACGACCTTCATCGTCGCGGATCGACGACCTTCGTCGTCGCGGGTCGATGAACTTATTCGAACACCTTTGTTGAACACCTCGGTCAACATTTCAAAATGGCAGCTCCTGATTGGTCGAAATTAAGGCACATTCGAATTTGTGGCCAAAATTTGACTGTGCGGTCTCAAGGGTGCACACGGTCAGACGCGACCCTGCGCAGACGAACACCCCCGAACCTCTGTACAAACTGCGCCACTTGTACATGTGCACGGGACATCTGCGATGCATTCGCAGATGCTTCTACTACTCTTGCATGTATTATAGTCACAATAGGCTCCAATGTGCCTAAAACGAAAGATAGAGTGCACAGCCGGATTTCTGCACAGCGGCTTCAAACGTTCATAGCGTTCTGGTCACAACTTCAAATGACCTGATTCAACTTGGATCTGGAGCGTCTACACGTCGCCTACAATAGGCAATTTAAATCGCACAATTTCACCAAGTATTGACGACACAGTGTCGGTTTGAACGAACGGCACTATGGCAGCCACTATAGTCTTAGAACACAAAATAGGAAGAGATATGAAGAGTTACGAGTTGGGAATGACTCCCAGCTCCTACAAACCCCAAGAGCCGAGGTACAGTGATGTGGAACAGTGCCACACTGTCCCCAACCACGAAGGGTCTCAAAACTACCCTTCACTAGGGCCTATACCAAGTGAAATGTTACACTACACAAAGTAATGTAACTATCTTCAATATCTTGAGGTGTACCCTTTTGGCGAGCTTCGAAATCACTTGAGGCTTGACACCAAGGCTCGGGCTCTTCATCACAAACTCATCCTTGAGTTCTTGATGGGTCTGCTGCACACACATGCGACACACCGAACGTTCGACAAAGGACAAAATAGAAATCGCGCACGACAAAAATAAAAACCGCGCGCGAGACACAAACGACCGCGTAACACGCGTCTAGCGATAACTCGCTATTGACTCGACACACACACTCGACATCATGACTCAACATTCACACACTATTATAAGCATAAAATATATATATTATCCCATGCCCTCATACCATTCCATACACACACACATGCACGCACACGGACAACAAGCCGAGTGCAAACCGTAGGGTTGCACCAACAAACTCCCCCTCGGATTGTTGGCCTTAGGATATGTTGCTCTCTCAGTTCAGAGCCATCCCAGCCAGCTTGCAACACTTCCAATGCTGCTGCTCCACCAGCCTCTTAATCATCATGTCAGCCGGCTGCCCCGTGGTCTTCAC